GGTGCTTCAGTCGAGGATTTTCCAAACTTTTTTCAGTTTCTTGAATTCAACTCATAATAAAGTGTCAGTTATTTATCTAAAAGTACACTAGTTCGCTCTTTAATATTACTCGTAAACTTCCTACTACGTTTTAAAAGTATTCCGGACTAATTCATAAATGGCATTTACGGCATTCTTCATGGCATTCTGGACTAATTCATAAATTTTTCCCGTACGGTGTTTAAAGTGAATGTTGCAGATCCTTAGGCCTTCTTAGATTGTTTACAGTTAATGGCGTCACTATTAGTGGAAGAATAGGGCTTTCATTTTTGAATTTCATATAGTTGTGTTGTAATTTCCAAAATTTCATGAAATATGCCTTTGCAATGAGATTCTTATTCATTTAGTTCAGCTACTAGACAAAATTTCAACTTTCAGAGGACAAAGAAGAATTACCATATATTTTCGGCTATAAGCCTATCCACGAATATGCTGAGGGGAAAAATTTGCTCCAAAAATTCAACCTAAATGGAAAACCCGTCTATAAGCCGAATTTTAAATTATCATCTAAATCTAGCTATATATATCGCTAAAAGCGAGATTAATTAGTCGCATAATTTAGTTTAATAGATTAGATTAATTGAATGTGGGTACAGATTTGGATTTCGGTTCTCATTTAAAAATAAAGATAAAAGAATTGTAAAATGAAAAGTTTCTCTCTTCTCCTAACTTTCAAACACAGGACGATGAAATTATTAAATATAAGAGATGATATTCATCTACATTTTCCTTTGAAAGATTAAAATCTCCAAGAATAGCAAGCAAATTTCTAGTCGAATACTGATATTGGGAATGTCTATTAAGTGTAGTAAGATTAAATAAAAATGCTATTATTTTAATTATTCAATGTATAATGTTATTTTTGTGTTCGAATGCGTATAAAGCAACCTTCAAAGCACAAAGATCAAAACACTGGCAAATCATTCTTCGCTTACACGCAGAAGTATATGGTAGCCGATTATATATATATATATGTAAACATTTTTGACAAGGAGCGATTTCAGTTTGCTTGAAATCCCAGATATGTTTTCAAAAGACCCAAGTATGCAATCATGTCAAAATCAAACCTCCATCAAGAATAAGAAAAATTTACTGATATATCACTCGTCTCTAGCCTTGAAGTTTATTTTACGTTTTTTCTTTAAAAGAGATTTGAAAACGGTTAAGCTTTTCCATCATTATTTATTTGAACCAAATAGTTTCAATAGTATTTGTTGTCATGGAAACACATGCAGGTCCAAAGGGTATACTCCAAGAAAAAAAAAGAGGACACATCTTCCTAAACTATGCTGATACTATTTAAAGGTTTAATTAAAAGGCTTATCCAGTCTTCCACTCGAACATCAGTTTTAAAGCAAAATATACGCACTGATAAAAATACAATTTATCTCTCTTTTTCAAGTAAGAATATTTGAGTAAATGCTTCAGTTAATCTTCTCTCTCATTAAAGAGTTCTCAAGTTTTAAGATAATATATTTTAATATATTTTGAGATTCCGAAATGTAAACAGTATCACTGTGACCAAACATAACATATATGCAAATTTTATTGATTGTTTTAATGTTTCTGGGATTCAGAGTTGTATAAAATTTATCTGGAAGTTAAGAGAGTTTAAGTCAGAAACATTTCTATTCTAAACCAAAATTTCTGAAGCAAAATTCAGTATGAGGTCCTGTCTGTATAATGATAGAAAACAAATTATGTTGTAGGGTTTATATTTATTTTAACTAACATTTATTTTAAGCTAGCTTTCCTGTCAAGCCTTTACTTTCCTCTGGAATTGGCAATGCCAGAGTATGTAAATTAGTAGAACGCACAGAGTATTCAAATTTTAGCAGAAATAAATTGAGTTAAATAGAAGGTAAACGAGATTGTAAGTGTGCTTCTTGAATCACGAGCGTGAAGGTTGCTTTGTAGAAAGTTTAAGAACTGCGCGTTTCGGCCTGTGTGCCTATTTCGACAGTTCGTTGAATCTTTCAAATTCTTAATCAGAAAGTTTGCTGAATCTCAGCTGTATCTTACAACGCGGTTAAGTTAGTTACGATTATAGAGCCTCGTAGGTAGTGACTAACATTTATTTTTAGTTACATTTTTGTCTATTTTATTCAACCGCCGGGTCGGAGTAGTTTGTGAGCGTCAAGTGAACGCAACTGTGATTTCTAAAGTGAAATAAAAAGGGATTTAAACCCTTCTTACGAGTTTGTGTAATTTCCAGTTCATGTCAGTCACTACTACTGTTGCTGACAAGTTGGGGCCTCTCAACATCATAATGTTAAGTCTAGTTGTGAAAGAAAATCATATTACAGTTTAAGAGAAACTTTCAACCAAAACGTATCATATTTATCTTAATTTTTAAAATAAAGGAAAAACAGAAAGTAAATTATGTTAATTTATGTCTCATTTATTGTAAGAAAATCCATGAAACGGCCATTTTAAGCTTTAAACGAATGAGAAATTATTTCTGTCTGCAGATTTGTACTTGATAAAAATGATAGTAAGGGAAAACGGCAACCAGTAAAATTGTAATAATGGGTAAAATTATGTAAAAGCGTAAATGGGCTTTACATAATTAGGATTGTATATTTGTGAAAAAAATGAAGTATAGCTTAAATATGGGAACATTAGCTTTAAGTTAAATAACACAAACAGAGCTTCGGAAAATAAAAAAAAAAAAAATAAAACAGTTTAAATAAAGTTTATTTAAACTGTTTTTTTTTAAGACTAATTAATGGATTTTTTTCTACCTTTTACTACTATGTTATGTTTTGTATGAGGTTTGCGAACTATTTAAAGTTTTTTTGCTTATTATGTGCTTCGCCCTTAGGCACTACACTGAAAGGGAAGGATGCTCCGTGGATGTCTTTTTAAGGGAAACTGACTCGTATCCACGTTACACATGGGGAAAACCACGAAAACGTCCATGAAGCCAGCCGGTTCGCCGGAACTCGAACCCCTGACCGAACTACCAGTGTTCAGCGGCTTTTAGCGCTCGGCCACTGGTGGGCCTATGTAAAGTATTTGAAGCATTCTTTTAGAAAAAATAAGTAAACAACTGTTTCAAATAAGCACAGTAAACTTTCTGCTAATTCATTAAAATATTAAGATATGTAAATTTAGCTCCAAACACATGAATCTAAATAATCTACATATGACATCGTTTTTGGTTTTGACACGTTATTTTTAGCAAGATTTCTCTAGATTAAAATCATATGCTATAATACCATTATTAAGTGAAAAAATATTAAAATCATTTGTTATTAATTTTAGTCAAATCTTCTGATACATTGCAGGGGATAATTTTTCATCTTTAAAGTATTCAACTTTTCTCAGCCTTTATTAAATTTATACTTTAGAATCTAATAATATTATTCATGATGACAACTGTGTGAAATTGATTCTCCTACTCGTATTTCTTAATCAGAACTGAAAATAGGAATAATTTTAGTGGTCTTCTTTCTCTAAAACTGTATTAATAGCGAAATAATTAAATAAATAAATCCAAACATTTTTCAAAATTTCGGCATTTGTAAATAATTCTGGAATTGCTCTTAATATATTTCATTTCTTTCATTTTTTTTTCGCGTTATAGAAATGGCATATCCTTTCAGAAAACGTTTGATTTTGTGTCAAAATACTTGTATTAGAACAATGCTATATATAAATCTAATACATATACTAAGTCGCACTGTCGAGGCATGAAAAACGCAAGTTGAATTTCGTCAATTGGCAGTAGAGCGGGAGATATAGAACTGCCCACTTTTTTTTTTCGCAGTGTACGTACCATATTTACTCGCCTTTGTCAATTTCTGCCTTTATGCAAATTTTAAGGTACAAAAATAGAAAGTGGAGAAATATGCAAATAACATAATTTCCGAAGCACGCGGTTATAGAAAGAAAATTTAACAAATTTAATTAAGTATTCATGGATAAACTACTGGTAATGATTACCCTATTTTAAAAGAAAGCTGTAATCCAATAAGAATACGTAGTATTATTATCATTATCTAGTAAGACATCTTCATTTTTATCCCCTTGTATCCTGAATCTCGCCAGCTCTTATTGTTGTCCATTGTCACTTAGCCCTAAATCATGTAATGCTGCTCGAGCTACTGTGTGTGTCGTATGCTACAGCTTGCAAGTTGTCGCCACTACCACCGTTGTCATTATCTTCGTCATCATTCAGCCTGTTTTGCCACATTGCAGTAGTGTTCAGAACTGTCAAGAGTATCAGATATCTCTTTTTCTTGATGCTCTTCACTATTACTGCTTCATTAAGACCATGGACTCTAAATACACGAGTAAATCAAATAGATGAAAACAACCACTACATAGATGAATTCATTTTAAAATTTAAGAAAGTCAGCTTACTGACCTACTAAATTACGTGAATATCTTAAAAAACGTTTTTCAAAACATTGCTCTAAAATGCTAAGGTAAAAATTATGCGAGTAAATATTCTTATAAAATTATTTGTTTTTGGCAGAAGAGTAAATAAATAAAGGGATAGTAAATATTAATGAAAGGGATATTAAATATTAATGTATACATTTAGCTCAGTATTCGACAATACCCCTGCAGTTAATATTATCGAAATTAATGATAGGGAGTTTAAGCATTGATTTAGCAGCAAAGAAACTACAACAACTTGCATGTTGTTGTAGTATATGTGTACTGTTATTTTAGTTTAAATGACGTAGTTTGAAATATTATTTAAATATTGGCATCACTTAATTACATATTTTATGAATCATAAATTATGCACTTAGATATATACACAATTAAAAGTTTTTCAAGCAACTCCTGCTTTTTAAACAATTAGTTTCTTTTCTCTCAAATGACTTCATTGTATTCTATTTTGCAGTGAATCACTTTGTGATTGTCTCCGGTTCAAAACAGAATTTTATGAGTAAAGTACATGACGCTAATGTTGACGTCATAATGCATCTCTTACAGGTGCAATACTAAAGAAGGAAAGAAATTTGAATAATTTATGGATCATTTGGTGGTCTATGCTTCATAAAAAGAATCTCAAGATAGAAGTTTATGATTCAAAAAACGTTATTTAGAGTGTTTTTTACAGATCTTTTGAAACTGTGCATAATATTAGGTTGTTCTGACGTAGATGTCTTTATGCTTTATATATATTTTACAACGACTGGCTGAAGCTAAAAGATTCAAGTAGGATTTCAATGATCGTGTAGAAGAATATTTTAGATGGAAAATTTTCTTGTGTTGATCTGCAGGATCTTTAAAAGAGATCTTTCTTACAATAGAAGAATTATTAGTACTTAAATGTAAGTCAAAATGCATTTTATTTTATTATATTTTATTTATCTATATTTTCATAATTTATTTTACTTAGAACACAATAAATTATACAAATATGCATTTTGCTTAGGACTTCAGTTTAGAATACATTGAGAAATTTCACTTATTGAAGAAAATTAAAGCAAGTTTATTATTTTCAGAAAATTACATTAATAGGATTGCTAACTATATATATAGCCAATCAACAAAATTCTGCATGCTTAAATAGATCTCTTATTAAAGCGTTTATTTTACATAGTCCATTCATCAACCATAAATGTTAAATTTTAACTTGCATAAATGAAGATTTTTAATGTTTTCTTGTCATAGTTTCTTCTGTTATTCCAATCCGAATACTTTTTTCTATAAAAATCATTTTTCTTTTTGAGAAAAATTCTGTGTTTATTTTTAGAATGTAAGGTTCTTTAATAAGTGAATACATATGATTTAAAAAATCTTATGCAAATACCTTGTGCATTTGAATATGTATTAGACTGAAATTTTGAATTTCACTTTCCTAAGATTCGTATTTTTAATTTCTTCAAAATATTCAAATTAAATCATCAATTTATTAAAATGCTAATTAATTTTAAAATAAGATAATGGAATTTTTGGTACTACAAGCTATCGAATTTCTACATGTTAACGTTTTTAAACAAAAATAAAAATTATATTTTCGAAAATGAAAAAAATCTTCATATTTTAACTTCTCCCTGTTCTTAAATTGATATAGTAGATTACAATATAACATTTGAAAGAAAAGTAAAAAAAACACACAGTTGTGTCACCTGTAATTAGATTAAAATTACAGAAAGCCCTCTATTTAAAAAGCTAAAAAATTTACTGTTACAGAAAGTGTTCAGAATTCTTAAATTTCGAAATAATTTAATTAAAAACAATTTAATTAGATTAAAATTTTTTTACAAATAATTAATGCAATGAACACGAAATCAAATTATTATTTGACGTATACAAGGCATGAGTAAAACATTAATAGTTATTACTAGAAGTAATGAAGCGTACTTTAGTTAAAAGGTGCGTAGCAGCGAAACATTTTAATATTATGTCTTAAGATGCAGCAATTATTCCAAATTAATAATAATTAAAAAAAGATACTACCACCATTTTTCGAGAATATAAAGGGAAATATTGTGAAAGTACATTTAAAGTGTATGGTTTTATATTAATTATAAGTTAATTACACTTTTATTTAATCCGCATAAGTATTCTTTCATTTATCTAAATTTCTTTAACTAAAATTATGAAAAATATAATTCAATCAATTCTATTTATTTACATTTAATTAACATGGTATTTAAGTATATTTAAATACATTATTATTTCAGTACACTTGAGTACATAAAGACTGTAAATACATTTTAGTAGCATTTTAGTCATTTAAAATATTTTTGTATTTAAAGTATATATCTGTGGCCAACGTTTTTGAGAATAAAGACCATATAAGGAATTTTGTGGGCACAGTATATAGCACAATACTTTATCTATTCTTAATTTTAAAATTATCTATTTATTTCGGCATACAATACTCTGAAACATCATTGTGCATAGGCATGGCTTGATAAAATATAAACTTTCTCACTTTCTAATGAGTACATTTCAATTAAAAAATAAAAATTAGGTCTTAAAGGCTGGATTATAAATGAAGATCATTTAAGAATTTCTCCAGCGTAGCTATACTCTATTAAATATTGTAAACAGTTTCCAATACATATTTATTGCCTATGCAATAATTTTTCTGTATCTGCCAGCCTGAAATTTAGTACAGAGTTTTAGTTTGCTAAATATTTTAGTCTGTAAGCTAAAATTTTCGGTAATCACAGCTTATGAACATTTTAGTTAAATGTCCATAAGCTGTGATTACCAAAACTCATTTAAGCTGTATTGTGCTTTATATCTAGTCACTGCGTAATTAAATATAATTTCTAGTAAAGCGAAACCACACCTAAATAATTTAGTAAGCTTGTGGATGTGAATCGTGATCTGGATTCTATAACGAATCAAAGTAATCAAAGGTAATCAAAGCAGATGTTTGATTTCGTTCTTTCAAATTTTATTAAGAAATATGCCAAATACTCCTAGGCCCATTTCTGAAGAATTTCATAAAACAACTGCTGAATGCAAATAAAGGAAAGATATTTAACACAGAAACTGAGTTTCTTAGAGGTTGGAACTTAAGCAGAATGTGCGTTTTAAAATATGACGAAAAAGTAAACTTGCCCATAAATCTTCTTTCTCTTTTCAAAGGACTTTCGTATGCTTGGATGATTAGGATTATTTGAATATTTCGGGGGATATCTGCCGAAAGGAAGAGATAGCATCATGGAGATCTTTTAAAACTCGTATTCACATTACACTAGAAGAAATCCGCAAAACCTCCAGTACAGCCAGTCCGTTCGCCGGAATTCGAACTCGGATTCTTTGTCATTCAGTCAAACTAACAAAGTTCAGCGATTTTACTGTCCGGCCGCTAGCTTAGCTTTTTTCTCTGGAAGAACTGGCAGTTATAAATATTCCTAATTTGAATGTTGTCACACCTTTACAGCGGGGAAAGCCTAAAAACGTTTATAAGTTAAATTTTTATTTTTTAAATGTTGATTAAAATAAAAAATGTAGTTTTGATGTATACTTTAGAACAACCATGGGAGTCTTTTTACGTTCGGATGGTTGTTTCCTGTTTAACTGTCTGGCAAGAGAAAAGTCTTATGTTAATAATACTACTGAGAAAGGGAGGGAAAGAAGAAGGAAGAGGAAGAGGAGAAATAGGAAAAGAAAAAAAATAAGGAAAAAAGAATAATTAAAAAAAATATATTTGCCACTTCATTACATTCTAAGTGTAATTTGAACAAACAAAAATAGGAAGCGTATTTATAAATTTAGCAATAGAAATAACAAAATGACAAAATTCCAATTTAGCATCTCGCCTGCAGACACTTTTTGAAATACAGTAAAACTCCAATTGTCCGGATCAATTGGAACCAAACCCTATTCGGATAATCAAAATTTCGGATAATTGGATTTCTTCCGAAAGAAGGATCTACGCACATTTTAATTAATTACTGTGTGTACTGTATGTTTAAAATGGGAAGAAAAAAAACTATTTTTAAAGAAAAAGAGGTTTAAATTATTTAAAATGAAAACGCAACCCTCTTGCGTACGTATTACGTAGCGTACTTACAAGTGCTGAAAGTAAGCTGTTTGACGGGCACCGTGCTTAAAATTTCTCAGCCAGCCGTTAGCTGCTTTACAGGGTAAACAATCGAGTTTCTGAGCTAAGTAAGATTTCAGCTATTTCGTAAAGAATCGGACCCGAAATTGGGATAGAACGTTACTGCAAAAAAGCAATTGAAAGCGACATCTTCTAAGTTTTTGTTTGTTGCTGTATTGATTTTCTTGAAGAACTTCCATCTTTGTTTTCAAGCAGTGACACGAAATTTAAAAGTGTAGGTTTGCTCTTTTTAATGTCTGAAATCGTTGATTGTCCAAAACTACGTTTCCGTCTTAGCTTTTTTCTTAAACTCTGAAAGCGATTCGGATAATCAGCGATTCGGATAATTGGAGTTGTACTGTACTTGATATCATCTTTTCTTTTGTCATGCGCGCAAGTAACATTACAGTTTATTCCTGATTAATTGAGCCATGACAAAAAAAAATAATTTGTTTACTGTAGACTATCGAAAAATTATTATCGCAAATCATCAGTGCAAAAAAAAATTAAACAAGGAAGAGAACCATGCGTTAATAACATGAATGATGATGCCATAATATTTAAGAGTTGCTTTACAGGGTATTTATGTTTTTAATCCATTATCTTATTCTTTGTATTTTTATTCACATTTCTACTTTCGCTAGTTACCAGAAGAATGGAGATTAGTTAAAATATATGAAACAGAATTCTTGAACACAAAAGAGAACTTTTGCAAGTCTAAGGTCTAAGATAAGTCGCCTGTGTGTGTAGGTTTTTCTTATAAATATTTTCTTTTAATGCCACTTATGTTTAATATTTCTTCATGTCTAAAGAGGCTTATTTTCCTGCTATTTAAACAGTATTCTCTTAATTTTGAATATTGATTTGTTTTACATACCAAATAAATTTATACTTCAGATTAAATTTCTTGAAAAAGTATCTTTCTATTAAATGTAATATGAGCTAGGATCGCTTCGGTATTACTCGGGTGCTTCAAAACAAAAAATCAATTTTCAGTCGATTACGAGCCATTTTAACCCAAGCGCTTCATATAGAGGACTACAAAATCTTCAAATATGAGATGCAAACATTGAAACGCTAGTCAACAGCGAACAATAATAATTAAAAAAGTAAGACATTCTTGTCCGAATAGCAACCAATTTGAAGTTCCAATCACTGCCTCCTTAAATTAAAGAAAACTTCATAAGACTGTGGAGACATTAGGTATTATGGCAGCAGGAATGATGAAAAATAAGCAACGCCCTCGCCGGGAATCGAACCACAGACCTCTCGAATGCACGCCGAGCGTGCAGACCACTACACTACGAAAGCACGCTAAGAAGGTTATAAGATGATAAACATAAGCACAGGAATAGAAATGATTTTCTTTTTCACTCCTTACATTTTCCCAACAACGGATCTCGAATAAATAAACGTAAGTCATAAATATAACGAATTATTTGAAGATAATCTGCATAAAAATAAAATCATAGTTATGCAGTGAGAGTAAACGATTATTATGTAACCAAGCTTTGTTTTTGTTTTCGCTGTGCTGCGTAAGCGTTAAAACTTCGCTGCGCCTACTTAATGCACTAGTATGTGAACTTCACCGATTTCCTTATTTTTCATGATTTGCTTGTTACTATATGTAACAGAATATTCTTGCGACGTAAAATACCTACACTATCAAAACAATTTACTATAAAATGCATTTCCTAAATTATGTTGAGGATTTCACTTTCTCGAAAAATTATGGATCGAAATATTAATTATTTGGCCAAG